GCTAATTTTTAATCATTTCAATTTTTAATAAAAATATTATATATGATTAATTAAAAATAATTATTTAATTAAATTACTTTTAATTGTTGATAATTATTATAAATAATTTATAAACTATATTTCATGATAAATTTGTTTGTTTTTTTTAATAAAATCATTCTTTAAATAATAAAAATTTAAAACATAATTTTTTTGAATACTATTAATTTTATAAACTAACAATTACTGTATATTATAACTTAATAATTTTAAAAAAAAATAAATTGTTATTTTACATACTAATTATAAGTTGTAATTAAATTTTTTTATTTTATATTTATAAGTTGGCAATTGGTTGGCAATACCCTAACTTATATATAATGTATAGATATAATTATTTCTGCAGTTATAGCAGTTTAAAACTAATGAGAGAGAGAGAGTGTGTGTGTGTATATCAAAATTCACTGTCTTTTTTGTGAAAGACTTTTTAATTGAGTTTAATTACAGGTAAGCGAAAACAATAATTAATTAATTAATTACTAAAAAATGATATGATATGACAAACCCCCTGTATATGTGTGTGATTTAGTTGTGTACCCTCTTATGAGTTCAAACAAACAAAAACAATTTTTTTTCACTATTTATGAGACATCAATTTGAAAAGTTATCATTATTATTATTATATAACTTATATTTATATCTAATTTATAAGATTTCACACAATATATAACTTCAAGTCAAGTCTCTCACACACATTCATGTATTTGACTCTAAGGTCATTGAAAAATATACTGTATATACCAGATACTGGCAGGAAAAGCTTACTAGCTTAATTTTTAAATTAAAATTTTACGTTATTATTTGCATATTAGTAATAGTTTATATGTACATGATGATATTTTTTATAAGTTTTTATTATGTTTAATAAACTACGTCATCAATTAATTTAAAAATTAAGCTAGTAAGCTTTTCCTGCCAGTATCTGGTATATACCTTTTACAGTGTATACCTGTATATCGAAAAAAAGGACTGTCCTTTAGTTTATAAATGTTTATCTTATATAAAGACATGATTGCAATCCGGGGACTAAAAAGATTTCCTTATTTAATGACATTTAGTAATATATATGTACAGTATATATATATATATACCGTAAATATATTAACTGAATGACTATTATGTTTAATGAAAGAAAACATAAATAAATAAATAAAATAAATAAAAAAAAAAGTTTCTGTTTTTTTCTTCTACTTCTTCTTCTTATTTAAAGAGTAACCAAATATTAATCTGTCATTTCATATGATTAAGAGTTTCAATACATGAAAAGGCATTCCTATGAAAGTCATTAACTCTATTGAAGTACTGTTTAGTAGAAATGCCAGGTCTTGGGTATAGTAGTATATAAAGTACAGTATATATATGTGTCCCACTATTTTCCAGGCAATCATTATATAATATATTATATCATATATATATATTTTGTAGATAATACTCAATACTTGTATTTTTTTGTATACCTGTATATCAAATGTTTGGCTAAACATTATTTATTTATTTATTTTTTAAAAATTAAACTATAAAAATTTTAAATTAGAAAAAAACAATAAAGTGATCATCATCATTTTTATAGAGTAAATATACAGTACAATTTATTTTTATATACATATACCGTATAAAACATTATATATATATATATAGACTGTTTAATATGATATATAATTATTGGAAAGACATTTTAAATTTAGATTTAACAACAAAACTAAATAGACTTTTTTTAAATTATTGTTTGGAAATAATACTAATAATACTAAACTTTTAAATTTTATTATGCATTTAACTTAAGTTTATGACAATACGGTTTATTCATTTAAGCAAAAAAAAAGGTTCATAAAGTTTATTAGCAGAAAAACCATTTCAAAATAAAATTGTTTATTTTTTTTAATGTTTATTTATTTGAAATGCTTATATAACAAGACAACTGGTTAAGAGTTATAAACCATGTGTTTGTATATATACTGTATATATCTATCTATTAGTTAACTATTAATAAATAATTTATTATTATTATTAGTTGTTGTCTGCATTCAAGTTCTCCAGTCGTCAAAATTAATGCATTAAAAAAATATAATCATCAAATATTTTTTAAAAATTAAATTATCTATAAATCATATACTTTAGTATATCTACTGTGAGTTAAATGTATTGAATCAAATATATATATATATATATATTGAATATATAATGGATTGAGAAATTAAAAAGGCATTGAATTGATTGAGGAATTTCTCATTATTTACACCAATGCCTTCTCTCTCTCTTTCTTTCTCTCTCTCTCTCTCTCTCTCTCTCTCTCTCTCTCTCTCTCTCTCTCTCTCTCTCTCTCTCTCTCTCTCTCTCTACTATTGTTTGTTAAGGGAACAACAGTTGCACACAGGTATTGCATATTATAGATATATACTGTATATACTGTATATAATATCTGTAATACCTGAGCGCACTGGCATATGACTTATGTTTAGTGGAAGTGTCAGTGAACACCACTGAACACATACATACAGTACATAAAATACAGCAACAAAACAGTTGAAAGAAAGAGTGAAACACACTCTCGACATTCAATTCATTACTACTACCTGTTTGTTATATAAAAAAAAGTTATGTATGTATACATTGAATACTACTACTACTACTACTACTACTACTACTATTAGAGTGCCAGTGCCAGAACATTGGCAGCCAATGCCATACACAACACACAGGTATAACCAGTTGGTTATAATATACTGACTGTATGTCCTGTGTATACACAGTATATGAAGTTTACATTTCAAGTCAAAACCATCCGAGAAGAAGAAGGCAAACCAGCAGATAGTTGAGGGCTCCAGACATGAGCACCAATTCTGGTTGAGTTAGTGCGCTCGTAGAAGCAGTCAATTTGAGTGGAGAAGCCATTCAGGTGGGAGCCGTCAGCCGCACACACGTACCTCACCAGTCACTCACTCACACAGTTTGCCTTTTACTTGTTATGACACTTTTTACTGTACTTTTTTTTAAGTCAGTATATATTAATTGTGTGGCGAAAAAAAAGTTTTTTATTTAAATGAAAAACATTTATATATCGCTTTAAAAAAACATTTATGAGATGTCCTAAACATACAGTCAATATATAGTCGTCAGCTGTGTTTATCTCAATTTTTACAATTTCCTCGACAGTATATAGCCATAGGAGCCGACTGTCCCCATCAATTGTTGCCAATTAATTAATTTTTTAAAAAAATAGTCATTTAGCATTAACGTATAAAACGTAATGTTGATGACATTTATGTGTGTATATATATACAAATATTTTGATTGATTTTAAAAAAATATTTATTTGGTATTTATATACTGTTAATGCATTTTGCATTTCAAAATACCTGGAGTGAAAACTTTATTTTAAAAAATAAATAATACAAAACTATTTTTATTATCTGCAAACTACCTGTGCTTTTAGTATCAGTGCTGTTATGTATAAAATATATAAATGTGTATTTTGTGTCTGTGTTTGAATACCTGTATACAACCAACTAATTTCTGATGTTAAATGAAACCAAAAAAATAAGACTGTTTAACATAAGGTAATTACAATCTATATTTATTAGTATATAATTAATATCTATATATATATATATATATATATATTTATTTATAAATTTTATTAAAAGTAGTATAGTTAATAATATTTAAAATTAATGACTTATAAAAATAACAATAAAATTAATAAAAATAATTTACTAGTAGCATTATTATTGTAATTTTTATTATATATTTATTTATACTTTTTTTTAAAAAAAAAAAACTTTATTACTAACTTTTATTTATAAAAATATACAGTAGTTTATATACATGTACAGTATATTATGTATAGTATAAAATTATTATCATATATAATATGATAAATTACAAACACATTATAAATTATAACTTATAATATAGAGTTGAAATGTAATTTTTTTTCTTGTAGATTAATTTCAATATATATTAGTAACATATAATTATTAATTAATAATAGGATATCAAGTTACTGTTTAAACATATATTTTTTTTCTATAATAACAATTATATTAGATATAATATAGCATAATATATAATAAATTATAATCATATTATTAATAATACAGTAGTATCAGTAGTAGTAGATGTAATAATTATAATAATAGACACAGTAGTCACATAGGTATGCATACTGCTTGGAGGGCAGCTAACCAAACAACAATAATAATAAATTATCACAATTATCATAATCACAATAAGGGTTTTTTCATATTTAAAATACAAAAAAATAAAATAAAAATGTATTTCCGATCACAACATTCAGACATTAGGAAAACATGAGAGTCCCAGAATTAGCTTTCAAACGAGTCATTTAACTTTCATTGAAAACACAAAAAACTTATATATGTTTTTTTATATATAATAAATTTTTATTCAATATATACCTAATTTATATACACTATATATATTATATACCTTATATATATATTAAGCCCAGTGCTCTTAGGTGTCACCGAAACGCATGACAGCAATGTTCGCATCCGTAATCACAGCCACAACAACAACACCAACAACAGCCGAGTCAGTAGTTAGAGGACAGGGAGGACACGAACCCAACGACAGCGAGCGAGAGGAGTAAAAGAGGAAATATTTTTCAATCTCTTGTTGTTGTTTTCAATAGCCATTCAACTCTCTCTCTCTCTCTCTCTCTCTCTCTCTCTCTCTCTCTCTCTCTCTCTCTCTCTCCACAACAAATTGAAGTTCAAAAATTTGTTTTTAACAAAAAATTATAATATAGTATTTAATTACAACAACAAAATAATAATACTATTCAACAAAACCAGTGAATCTGTGAATACATATGCAAAACAATTTTTTTTAAAAAGTGTCGACTGTTATCATACAACTCCAACAAACATTGATTATATAATTTTTATGTAAAAATTATTTTTTTTTTGGATTAATTTAACGGTGAATTAAAAAAAACAATGTCATCATTGGATTCAAGTGCGCTAATATCGGCTGCCAAATGGTCGGAAACAAGTCATCAACTAAAAGAGTTTTCCGCAAAATACGACTTTCCGCAAATCGGAAAGATATCGCGCGGACAGTATTTGAATATCGGTGTTCCCAGTCTATCATCGCCATCGCTCAGCCAAATTGTGTTGTGGGGTTCGGGCGGCAAACGGGTCAATGTCATCGCACAGTCGGTCCGGTTTAAGGAAGGTAGCAAAACAAGTGCCGGTTCTACTGGACGATCAGTGCCAACGGGTCCCAAACTGGTCATACCGGACAACTACGATGGCTGGTGGGAAATACTATCCGAAGAGGGAAAGTCTGTGCGTTGTATTGAAAGTGTTGCTGATCTCAGTAAGAGATGCGGTGATCAATGCCTGGTTAGGGATAATATTAAGGCATATATGGGTAAGACTGACGACCCAAATGTGATATCAGATAAACAAAAAACAATACAAACTGGAGAACTGCTAACATTAGTGGGCACCGATGTGGTGACGCCGCCCAGTGTTAAGTCAAATGGCGGTTATCATCACCGATATCTACGGTGTCGTACGACCAAAGGTGGTGATACAGTATATTTAAGTTTGGATCAAAAAGGAAAGTTTAGTCCAGTGGCCAGGGAAGGCATATCGGGAGTGCATACCATATCTAATCTTTTGTCAAAGCGATTGCCATTAATGGTGCGCTTAGTCTACGGAAAGCCGCCGCAGGGCTACAAACAGTTTCATTCTGATATCCGACTATTCAGTACCTATGAGGACGAATGTTTTGTAGCACTTCCGCTAACAAAAGATATCAACAAAGACACCAACAATTGCTTAACACAAGTTCCTATAGGGAGTAGTCTCAAAGTTTTGGGCCCAAAAAATGGCCAACAATTGTGTGAAATGCCAGAGTTTGGTGCTTTGAAAGAATTATCGGCAAAGTTGAGTCAACAGGGTTTGACCGGAAGAATTCATTTGTTGGACACACAGACACTAAGCAAAGAGGTCAAGGCTTTGCTCAAAGAGGACAATAGTGGCAATCGGGGAAAGTTTGCTTTCAAGTTTCAAGGAGGAGGAGGAGGAGGTGGCGGCAGCGGTGGTCATCAGTATGACCACAAACGACGATTGCAGTCAAATTCATTAGTCAAACGCAGTCTGTCTGATCCGCAACAGATCAATGGCAGCGGCGGCGGTGGCAATGATATGACTGCCGCCGTCAACGAACCGCTAAAACGGGGCACATCTTTGGATGACAGTCACAAAGAGGCCAATGCTAGCCAGCCATCATTGAGTTGTGGCGGCGGCGGTGGCGGTGCCGATACGGATAACGAGTTTTACGATGAGATCGATCAGATCTATGACTATGTTCGCGGTTTTGCACCGTTACCCGATAGGATCAGGAATGAACTGAAATCAAGCAAAGTTGGCGTCAAAGCGACCCAAAGTGATCCGGCAATTGTCGATATACTCAATAAGGAGAACCGACCCGAACCTCCGCCCATCATAACCATACCGTCCATTCAAAAACAACACCAACAACACCATCATCATCAACAACACCACCGTTTCTCTTATCCGATGACAACACCCCAGAAGGTAACTGTAAACGTGAAAAAAGTGAAAAAATATTTTCCTACTAAAGACTATAATATATTCAACAAAAATAACAACAAAAACAATAATAATAAATCAAAGGAAGAGAAAATCGTTTATTTTCCAAACGTTAGAATACATTATAATAATTGTTTGAACGCTGGAAACGGTGTATATTTGCCAACACAATCGCCAGTCTGTACAACACCGATACCTCAAACCCCTTCCCAACAACAGCAACAACTACTGCTATTACAACAACAACAACAGTATCCCATAAATGGCCAGAAATTGTTTGTCAAAAGTTCTTCGGGCCAACGAAACACATGGAAAGCCAACCGATTTCTCAAATATGCAAAACACGTCTCAGCGCCGTTCAGATCGGATGCCGCCATCAACGAGATTGATGTCAGTAAACAAAAGATTATCACAAATAATAATAATAATAATATTATTAATAATAATAATAACAACAATATTAATATTAATAACAACAATAATAATATCAATAATAATATTAATAATAATAAAAATGTGGCCAACGGTGGTCAGTCGTGTCGCAGTAGCAGATCGTTGACCACTTCGCCGATATTCAATATACGATATAAGTCAATGAATAATTTGCATTACATTAAGAGCCCGGCCATGGATTACAACAATACACTAGACTCGAGCCATTCTGGTCAGACGACATCTTCGGGCTCCGGCAGTCGGGATCTGTTTCGCGATCCGAAGCCAAAGTTTCCGAAACTTTCCCGTTCGCTGAACAATGTTTTCTGGGATATCGGTAGCGCGGCTGCTGCCGCTGCAGCAGCCACTGCCGGCAACTATGTGACCACCGATACCATTGACAAACTTAATAACGAATTAAATGATAGGAAAAATAAAAACTGTATCCAATTGCTACCCGTCCACATTGACTTTCTCAATGCATTGGATCGCCTACAGCAACAACAAAACCAACAACAACAACAACAGCTACAACAACAATTGAAAGAGCATACCATCAAAAATCGACATTTGGCCACTTTGTATCTCTGAACAAAAAATTAATAAAATTGATAATTAAAACTAATCTATGTCATTTTATATTATATTATAAAAGCAAAAATTAAATGTATATTTTTGGAAAAAAACTTTTTTTTCATAATATTATTTTTTCTCCATTAAGTGATATTCAATTGATTTATTATTATTATTATTGATACTATTATTATTTTTAATGATTCATTTTTTTATAATAATGCTAATAATATAATATTTTTTTTGTGGATAAACACATAACGTGTTTGTTTTAAATGATTATGATATGTATAATTTAAAAAAATATATTGTAAACTTTTTTGATATTTATAAAAAAAAAATTATATATTGTTTATCATGATAATTAATTGTACGAATGATAATAATTGATAATATTAAAATTTAAAAAAATAATAAAGGGTCGTGGATTAAATTGCTGATATAAAATGTGCCAATTTTTTTTTTAAAAATTCAATAATATTAGATATTTAACTAATACTAATAGAAATAATATTTATTAATAAACTAATTAATAATTCAAGCTATTAGCTAATCCATTGCTCATAAAAAGATATTTAATTATTATGTATTGACGCGCAAATAAAAACCTTTAGATATTATTAATATAACTTTTTGTCATATTTAGTATCATATACTAACACACCCACTAATAATAATAATTATAAATTTATAATTTTTAAATAAATAATTTTGAAAGTAATAATTCCCCTTTAATTTTTTTTGGTCAAGGATTATGCAATTTTCATGAGTTTTTTCATATTATAAGTATTATAGAAAAAATTAATGCCTTTAAAAAAATAATTAATTATGTTTTATATATTAAATTTTTTAAAAACTATTAATAAAATTCCTATAAAAATTTGTCGGCAACAATATAGACGTGTTTATATGTCATATACAGTATATATATATATTTAATATATAATTTCTGTATTATATAACATATACAGTTAAAATAATTAATAAAATTTATATACCAGTATATACAGTATATAAAAAAACAATTTTTCAAGTTTACATAAAATTTGACTATATATTTATAATAAGATTAATAATTATAAAAAATAATAATTGAAATAATTTATATGACATTTTTATTATTAGTTTTTAGTTTTATTTTATTTTATTTAATATTAAATTATATCTGTAAGTTACCAAAAAGATAAATGATCTCCTATTGAAAAAATTATGTAACATTTTTGTATTATTTATTTTTATATTATTCAATTGATTTTTATTTGCTTTATGCCTTGTAATACTGATTTATTATTATTAAATATTGCATTTAAATATATATATATATATATATATATTCTTTTGCAAAAATTTAATTTATTATTATTATTTTTTATTTTATTTTTTATTTTACTAAAGGATTTATCGCCAAAATAATCGCTTGACTTTATTTTAATGGTTTTTTATTTGAATTTGTACTGTATATTTGAATTGTGGAAATCAATAAAAAAACATATGAATACACAAAAAATTATTATCAATTTAAATAAGTTGGTATTATTAATAAGAAATTTTTGGTTATATTTTATATGCTATTTTAATAATCATGACATATATACTATATATATATACAGTATATATATGTGTGATTTTTAATGAACAACTCATTTAATTATTTATTTAATAATGAATAATTTATTAGTTGATAAACTTGACTAAAAAAATATTTTAAAATATTGAAATATTTGTTTTGTTTTTTTTATATATTCAAAAATAAAAATAAAATAATTTTTTAAGTATTTCTATAAACAGATAGCAATCATCTCACACACACACATATATATAAAAAATATCATTTATAAATTATAAAATAATAATAAATATGATATAAAGTATATATATGTATATTTTGTGGGAATGAATAATTGTGATAAATAATCATAAACTCATCACTTATTTAAATTAGATATTAAACTTGATTATCCTTCAAAAATCCTAAACTCCTTTTAAGGGACTAATCAAATAAATTTATTGTTATAACAGAGTATATATATATATATATATTATAACATAATCAGAAAAAGAGAAAACCATTTAATTATAAGAAAGTCTATAAAAATATTTGTTTTTCAAATAAAAAAAATTATATTATATACATATATATACACTTAATATTTAATTTGTATACTGTTTGGTGGTCTCAAAGCCCACAGTTTGCCTTGAATTTATAGTGAAGGCAAAACAAAACAATTTTTTAATACAACAAATATTTTTTAATTTTATTATTACTTTTCGGATTACAAATACAAAGTAGTAAACTAAGTAGTATACTATATATATTTATTATATTAACACACAATGATGTCATTGTTGTAATTGTTTTGGGCACTGGCATAAAAGTATAGAAAATAATAATACAGTAATACTTTAAAATAATAATAATATGTATGACTTGGGGTTTTGAAACAGAGTATATCATCCATCCATCTATCCATCCATTCATTCATTGATTATCACCCATTCATTCACTGGTTGTATCTATCATTTGCTTTCATCAATCATTTTTTATACAGTACTTACACTTTTCAATCCTTTCACTTCAATCAAAACCTATAATTAAAATCATTTATAATAATTTATTATAAACTATAAGATCTTTAAAGTAAGATTTTTTCATGTTCTCTCTCTCTCTCTCACATAGAATGTGAGAATTATATTACACTTTTAATACTTATAATAAATTTTTTCTCTCATATGAAAAAATAAAATAAAATAGTTATTAATGAAAAATATTTCATATACTGTAATACAGTACACTATAATGTAGATATGTCTTATAAATTATATATTGCATACCTTATTATAAGTATCTCCTATTTTATATTATAATAACTTACACTTTTTATTATTATTATTATTATAGTATAGTTTATTATAAAACAACAATAGACTTAAATGAAATGATATAATTAATGTCATTAAATTAGAACAAAGGAAATATATTATTGTATTATATATACACTTATATTATATATTATATTTTATAGCTATATATCTGTGAATATATTTCAAAACATGTCATTTAATGTCAGGTAATATCCTCTGCAACGTAAAGAAAAACTAAGACACACACACACACATACACACATACACACACACACACATACATACACACACATACATACATACATACATACACACACACACACACACACACACACACACACACACACAAACAAACACACACTCACACACATATTATATACTAAGAAAGTGTACCCTATTATGACATTGAAGTTATAGTTTTTTAAGTTTAAAGTCAAAAATGAAAATTGCCTTTAAATTTTACACATCAATGCATAACTAGTAGTAGTAGTAAAAGTTTAAAAAGAAAATGATAACCTTTATGTCTACTTAATAATCGCTTTTTTAAAAAAATATATGCACTTTTACTTTAATTATTTGATTATTGTGTTTATATATTTTCATATTAAGTCTACTAAAGTTTTTTTTGTTTTGTTTTTTCAATGTATACTTTTTATTTCATTCAAATATATATATAAATAAATATATATTTGTTTTGTTAATACAGTATTTAATAATAATAATAATAATAATAATAGTAAGTATATATTCGAGGGGAAGCAAACCAAATGCTCAAACAGTTAGACATAATCATTGAAAATATTTTATTTATATAATATTTATTTATTAAAATATATATATATATACTAAATAAACTTAGACCACATAATAATCTATCCACAAAAAAAAATTTAAAAAATTTGCCTAACAGGCAGTGAATTAATTAAATAAAGGAAATATCATTATATAAATAATATTATTATTAATATTAATATTCACAAAAAAACAGTCTGTTTTTAAGTATAATTTCTGACATTTCTGATAGATTAACGTTATGCTTAATCAGTGGGTATAACAACAATAATAATATTAATAATAAAAACTAAACAACTAAATAGTTAAATCATACAGTAGTATTAATTTAGTGTCATTTTCAATAGGAAATTAACTTTTTTAAAAAAAATATTATTTCAATATATGGAAAAGTTATTATTACTATTATTATTTATATATTCAAATGATTAATTTGCATTTTTATATACCGTATACATTAAACACACACATATACAGTATATATATATTGTACATATATAGTAAAATTATTGTATACATAATTGAATAAAATATAAGTAAATATTAATAATAATATTATTTCTATAAAAACGCTATACGTTTACATAAATTTATATACATATGAAAAAAAGTAATCAATTTTAATATAATAATATAGTTAATCTAAAATAATTTTCTCTTTTTTAATCATTTATATATTTTGTATAAATGATAGACAAGCTCATTATTGTATCAAATATTAAATAATAATAATAAAAAAAAATTGTAAATAAAATAATTATTACACAATACCCCAGAGATAGTTTTTTTTAAGTATAATTTATTGAAAAATTAGGGCAAACGGTGTGGTATTATTATAATAGAAATAATGAGAGAAATTTATTAACAAAATTATAACAACAACAACAATAATAATAAATACATTAATACATATATAAATGATTTTTGCCAATATTATATAACAATAATAAACTTAATAATAAGTGTGTTATATAATGTATATGAGAAAAAATCACTTATATATAGTGTATTTATAGCCAAACATTTCATTTGCACATAAATTATATAACATACGATATATAACTTATAAGATATTACATTTAAAGACAATATTTTTAAAAAAAACCATTCAAAATGTGTTAGTGTTTCTAATGGTTTGCCAAAATTGGATGCACAGGGAGCCCAGTTCTACACACAGTACAGTATAATAAGTACAGGAACTGCACTAAATAACTAGAATATATATAAATTCAATATATGGGATTGGGATGGTAGTCCAGGTGTGCAAAGCTATTTGTTTATGTATGGCTATATAACCTACCTGTGCTATGCTTAACTATGCCTTTTGATAGATACATAGACAACAAGATTATGTTTTTTCCAAT